TTCGATGAGGAATCACCTTCTCGAATGTTTACACTTATTTAGTTACACCCTGTGTATTAACAAAAAATTGTCATCTAATTTTAGAAACACTATTTTCAGCACATGAGTATATTAGTCCAAAAAAACCGATTTTATTAAGTTTGATATTAGAATGAAACATTATACGATTCGATTCAAAACAAACAGTATATGTGGAATATGGAAGGACAAGCTTCATACGTTCAAGAAGAAAAAAAATTCTAATTTTTTCTGTGAAATTTCGGATTTTGTAAAAAAATGCTCCTCCACACAAAATATGTAGATTTTTGTATTTTCCACAACTTTTGTACTCAACTCTTCTCAGAGGAAATCATGAAAAACAGTTATTTATCCTTGAAATTCACCCTTTACCTTAGATCAACTTCAATTTATTATTGTCGTAATGGGCACACTATTTTCTTTTCTATATGAAAAAGTATTCTCCTAACTTTTTTCCTGAAAAATTATTTGCATTTTGGTCCGAAACTCATTTTGTTATGCTACTGACAAATTTAACTATTGAGAAATTTTGATTTGCCCACAATTATTTCAAATTATCAACGTTCATGTTGTTTAAAAACCCAGATTATCATGTAACGATAGCGATAACCTATATATATTATTGAGAAAAAAATTGTTTTTTTCAGTTACAATAATGAGTTTCGAAAGTGATAAAGTGGCACTCATTACTGGAGGAGCAGGTGGAATCGGTCTAGCTGTTACTAGAAAACTTCTTGAAAATGGTGTGAAGGTAGGTTTTTTTATTGAAAAACGTAGGTATACTTAGGTTTGGGTTCGAAACATGAGGCATTTTAAAATACCGCAAAACGTGTTTCATTATACAATAACTTACTTAAGTGTGTCCATTATGAATAAATTCTACCCGATTAGTGTTTTATTAATATTATGGCTATGCATACTTAATTTCTAATAATTCTATCCAAATTTAGGTATAAATTTGAAATGTAATCATTAGGTTGGAAATTTCACAAACAAACTCATTGACATGGACATGTACTGGCGTAATTGTTGCATCAATCAATATCTATTACTTAGAGATTTACAAATTTTGTTTTAATGTTATCAGCCAAAGCTTGAAAATTGAAACTAGATCACATTTTGACAATTTATTGTTTTTATCTGCAGGGTGTAGGAGTTGTTGATATTTCCGAAGATTATAGTGGGGCTCTCTCAAGTTTGCAGGAACAATACGCTGAAAAGTTTATTTTCATCAAGGCAGATGTTACCAAAGATGAGGAGCTCAAAAGTAAGTGGAATATTAATTGGAATTTGTTATAACGAGATCGGAATATTTATTGATTGAAATGACAATCGTTTCTGTTGCTTTTTTGAAAATAGAAACCATAGATGAATAGTGAGAACATTGGTGAAGAAATATACATTGTCACGAAATTGCAGTTGAATTTGTCTAAAGTTTTCTAAACCCTATGTAATAAACACAAAAAGTCAAAAACGATGTTTGATAGTTACCGTGAGCAACAAGCGTATCACTGACAATTCATTTATTGAAATCGATATGTCTGCAAAACATACTTTATTCATGAACTAAAAAATGGTGAATTGGGAAAAAAGTATTTGAAAAAATAAATCACGTAATATTTACTGAAATAACTTTGGACAACTCTTCGATTTTTTGTAATGTGGTACATCATGCCCTAAAGAAAATAACGCCGGCCACCGCTGGTAGCCATAAATCAACTGTGACGTGTTCAAGACCGCGCGCAGCTTCGATTGTTGTAGTCTTCGCATCGGCTTCGATAGAATCCCGGCCAATATTCCACCGGCTTCGATGGATTTCTCAGGAATTCCCCGGTTTCGGGATAGTTCGTTTACCGAATATAAACGCTACCTACGGGCATAGCGAGATAGTCAAGTTTCGCGGACAGTGCGGTGCAAAGCAATTTTATAAGGCTGTAGACATTTATATATAGTTTATATAATAGTTTCAGTTTCAGTAGAAGTAATAATTTTACTTGCTAACNTGCCCAAAATAAACCAGTTCGCAGCAAAAAATTATTTGACGAACAACTACAGAGATACATCGTCATAAATGCGAACAACATAGGTTGAACCAGTTGAATAATAACGGAGTCAAACGTGGTGATTTAACACAAAAGGCTTTTTTTTAGCACATTTATTTCTATCTAGATGGAGGGAGTAGGAAATAAATCACGAAATTGAGATTTAAATTTTGAGAAAATTAAAAAAATTCAAACAATCGAAATGAATCTGGTCATTCAAGGAGATGTTTTGTGGGTCTTCAACTATTTTATTAATAGAGAAAACCTCACTAATGTGCAAGGTCCTCCCTTTACCACAGATGCGTAAAAATGATATTCCTGTGTCTGGATTGAAAAGGTGGTTTTGGTTGATAATATAGTTGGCGAAGAAGCTGTTTGTATTAATTTCATAAAAATGATCATGATGTCCATATTTCTGAATGGTTTTGTGATGTTCTTGAACCCTGGTTTTGAAAGAGCGGCCGGTTTGGCCTACCTTCGATGCAGAACAATTAGGGGTTGAACAAGAAAGTTGATAAACTCCTGATTTTTCTAAAATAGGAACTGTATCTTTACTTTACCTCAAAACTTCACAAGTTTTGTGGTTTTTACTCCTAAGGAGATGTACTTTTTTAATTCTGCAATGTATTTTCAGTTTCGAAAAATTTGTAATTTCAGAATAAATTTTCACAATGAACTTCGAACTACAATTCTCAATTTTTGTAGACAGCTGTTATGCGCGGTACATTTTTCGCCATTCAGGATTATCTACCCAAATACAACTCTTCAGGCGAAGGATTGGTTTTGAACACCGCCTCTGTTCTTGGAATAGAAACTTTATCAAACACACATGCGTACGGAGCGACTAAACATGGAGTCGTAGGCCTCGGTAGGAGATAGTAATTAGTACATACGAAAATAACAACAATAATTATTTGATTTCAGGAAAGAGTCTTGGGAAAGATGAATCGTGTCTGAAACATAACATTAGAGTAATAACTCTTTGTCCAGGATTAATACACACTCCCATGATTGGCGATTTGAACACTATCAAGAAACCTAGCGATGTTAGCGAAGAAGTGGCTGAAATGTGCAAAAAAGTTTCTTCGTAAGAATATTCTTCTTATTAATATCGTCAGATATATTTAAGTACCACACGCTTCCCTTCATATACATTAAGAATAATTGTTTTCACGGGCTACATATATTCGATCAGAGATTTTTAGTTTTTTTATGTTGGTACAATCATTTCGCACATATTATGTTCACAGTTTCAGCTGTTCAGTTTGTTGGTGAGAGGCATAAAAGTTAGAAGTATTTTGCATGTTCGGCGATTTTCGAAAAAACCGATAAAAGAATTTACATCGAATATTTTGTGTTGAAAATGGAATCGAGTGCTTCAAAACACTTGAAATGACTCTGAGTCAGAAAAATATTTACAAGTGATACAAGCTCTTCACAGAAAGTCGAGAAGATGTGAATGTTGGAGAAGTTAAAACAATTGTTATGGAGAATCATCAAATCACTATTGGAGAAGTTGCTGAGGATGTCCGCATATCAGTTGGCTTATGCCATGCATTTTTTCGGGAATGTTAGGCATGAAGCGTATGGCAAGGAAGTTTTGACAGGTATACTGTCGCATGAGCATCGCTCACGAATTGTTGAATGACAATCCAGTTTTGCTTAAGAGGATTATAACAGGTAACGAATCATTTTTCTGATTGATTCGGCCGTAACTCGATAAAGATCCATAGTTATTTCATAACTATGTGATGATATATAGTTTGTAAAGTCGCACATAAAAGTCTACTTTAAATTTGTCTACATGTTAATGAATTTGGTGTTGATTAAACAGTTCAAATATATTTGAAAGTGGTATCAAACAACGCAGAAATACATANTGAAACTTCATAAGCATAACATAAGTAATTATTTATTTGCTTTGTAGTTCTCTTTCTATATAAAAGGAACATAATAATTATTTTGTAAATTTTTCTTGTTTTTTGAAGTACTGTATTAAGCATAATAATAAAAATGTAATCAGTTTTACCATTGACACCAGGTAGCGCCACCTGCTATAACAATTTTTACGTAATTACCTATGTGTTTGAAATAAAAATATTATTTTGGTACGCCTCTGCAGAGTTGGTAAGAGGATTATCCGTTGGTGACTTCAAGTGCGACGTTGCTAATGAATCACCTTCAATTGAAAATTGTTATAGTATACACAAATGTAGTTTATCTGAGGGGTACTATTTTGAATGGAAACAAAATAGAAATTGATGAATAAATGAATATTTTTTGAGAAAACTGAAAATTCATCCTGTTTTGTTGAACAGACAGCGTACGGGTTTGAAACAGCTACTTGATAATGATTCTTTACTCATCTGCTCAAGAAAATAGACTAAAAGTATATCACTGCTAATTGAGTATTCAGGGTTTGTTGGGAAGCAATAATTTGCTCAACCAATACTACTAGATATTAACTATTGAACAAATACTATTATTCATGTATTTTCACCTTCCACGTTGTTTTTTTTTTGTATTTGCAAAATTATTCAATACTACAATTTACTGTTGATTGTTTTCATTCAAGCAATAACTCATCATAGAACACATGTATAAAGTTAAAAAAATAGTTATAAGAAATAGATACTTATTCAGTACTATCTAATGTAAAATGTAAATGTTTCAGCACTGACTACATTGCTGAAGCAGTTTCGGAAATAATGAACAAAGCAGAGCACGGTTCAGTTTGGGTTACCGAGGACGAAGAACCTCCATACCAATTAGTTTTCCCCAATAGAAAAGAAATGCGCAAAACCTCATGAAATGCATTTGAGATCGAAAATATAAAAAATGTAATTAATTTTTTGTCATTATGAGCATTATCATGTCATGTTTAATGAAATAAAATATTCTTCTTGTTAATCGTCACTATTTATTTCTTTTGTTAAATATATCTTTGAATCCACATAAAAATTCCAGTTTAGTTTTACGATGAGAATAAAAGTAACACGGGCGGGCTTAAGAAAGAAAACACTTTCTTTTCAAAATTGAGTCTATTCATCAACGTAATCTCCATCAAGAGCCACACAACCATTTCAGTGCCATTCTAACATTTCAATACCACTTTTGTGGAACGGTTTGACTTTGCTCCAAAATAGGCCCCGGTTTCAACAATAACCCCTTTATTTAGGCAAAATTTCTTTCCGGTGAGCATTTTTTTGAAGTCTGCCAACAGCCAGTAGTCGCTGGGAGCCAAACCTGGCGAATACGGTGGATGTGGGAGCAATTCGAAGTTCAATTCATGTAGTTTTGCCATTGTTTTGATTGACTTGCAAGGTGCGTTGTCTTGATAAAACAAATTTTTTTTCTTCGCTTTATGCGGTCGTTTCTTTGCAACTTCGGCACAGGTAACTACAGCAAATATCAAACTGAACGCCGTATTCTACGATTCTTTCTTTTTTTTAATCATAATTGCAGCTCTTTCAAATGTGTTGATGTACTTTCAAATCGGGACTTAAACCAATTCGAATAGCGATTCAACGACTGAATCGAGGACCCAATTCGAGGACCAATTCTAGATCTGAGATACAAACCGATGACATCAGATTATCACTATCATTATTTCACAATTACTTCCAATATCTCACGTTGGTGTCGAGTCTAAGGACATAGCCTATCACACCGATGACCAGCGTTCAATTCTCCGATCTTTTTTAATTCCCTAATGACGTGTGCTGAGAAAACACAAATTGAAGAATCTAAACGTCAAAGAACAGCAATTATTATTCTGAAATTGAGTTGAAAAAATAATTGTTGGTATGATTCAAACTCCCATATCTTTTTATATCGGTATTTGTTAGAAATATTCAAAATTTTCAACTCAAGAAAGGCCACCTACGTACTTCGTAGTCAAATAAACTTACTTAGTTCATGTTAGAGAATGGGTGAATGAACATTTTCAGATTTGTAATTGATTAAAGATCGGTGAAATAACCACCACAATTACCAGATCTAACTCATATTATTGGTTATTATAGACATACAATCAGCCTAAAACCCATTGGAAACGAGATATTGGCAAAAAACGTTCAAAAAGTCGGTTTTTTTGACTTTTGACCCACAAGTTTGGAAGTTGCGGCCGTCGAATCATATGTGAATTTTGGGAATACTTTCATGATGCCAAAATACAAAGTTTATACAAATTTACAGCTGGGTATGTCCACTTTCCTAGGCAAACCTCCTAAAATTACTGACCACATGCAATATAAAGCCAACACGTTCTGTCGATATTTCCACAATGTCAGCTAACTCACGTAACTTTACTTTTCGATCATTCAAAATGATTTTGTCGTTTTTTTTTGTTTTCTGGTGTTACTGTCTCATTTGGACGTCAACTACTTTCTGTACATCGGTGTCTCTACGACCACGTTTGAAGTCAGCAAACCAACGTTTGATTGTTGTTTCGGATGGAGCAGAGTCCTTATAACACTTTACGAGCCATTGTCTTTCTTGAACGATATTTTTTCACAAACTTATGAGTAGAATATCATGAAATTTCAACAGCTTCATTTTGAAGGTTTCAAAAAATCATTCAACGGGGGCCAAGTGATAAAGAAGCTTGTTAAAGGCAGAATAATTTGAACCATTCATGAAATATATTTTTATGTCTATCAGATAATGTGGTGTACCTTTCCTGTGAATGATTTTCATTTAATTTCATAACGAATGTTTGGGGTATACTAAAAATTGAATTAAAAAACTTTATTTACCTATGGAAGTAGTTGTTTCGGCTTTTTTTTCAGTTCGTATCTGAAAGTAACTTCTACGCCTGATCTATACATCTTTGTGAAGGGTTTATTTACAGCATGATTGCTTCCTTCCTTTCTTCAGAAGTTGTCCCTTCAGTTGTGGAGATAATGAACAAAGCGGAACATGGTACTCCTCGTATTGCCGAGGATGAAAAACCTCCTTACAAAGTAGTTTTTCCCGATCATCAGCTAATGCGCGAAATTTCATGATTTTTCTCAAGTGAAAATAAAAAACAATAATATGTTGATGCATGCAAAAAGGCTCCTTTGATATTCTCTTTGACCGTTTATCAAATTGTTGGTATACACAAAATCGGCTTATATAATAAAATCGTTTATTAAAAATATTCTTTTTTATACAGTAGTCTTAGTACAGATCTTCATTCCATTTTTACCCTTGTTTCACTCCTACGATCAGTCATCCTTCTTAGATTCCAACTCCTTTCTTGTTCTGACGCAAACTGTAAAACAAAATGTGAAAATGAAAAAATCATAGATTTCTATGGATTTGATCAGTCACATTAGTAAGTAAGTTGACAGGCAATCAAAATGAAAAATCCACCTGTACCAGAAGTTTTGGTTAATATTGAATTTAGCTAATCCATTTTCGATTTCTGGAAAAATTGAAAGGGTTGAAAATAAAACAGTCTAAGAAAAAATCAAGAGCAATCAACAAGCAATAGTTATGAAAACTTAGAAAAATGGGGATTGTCCAAATTGATTGGCATAATGTATAAAACCATAGCAGGATTGTAGAAATTATAAACAAAGTACGACGCGACGAACTATTTAGTCGAATGAAATAACATAATGAAATGAAATAGAGCAGATTTCTACAACACTGAACCTAAAAAATTCAATCATTTACTCATATTCTTTTATAGGAGACCAAATGTGACATGACTTTTTTACACAATCTGAAAAATAAATAAATTTAGATCCGCAAACAATCTGCTTGCGTGTAATGGAAAACAAACTGAAAGCTTTCCCCTACATTATTACGTATATCAACACAATCAATCTATAACTTATTTTCAATAATAACGAAGTTATAAATTAATGGAAAAATTCGTGTATGGGAATTCCATGAGAGAGATCACGTTAATTATTATCTGGCGCAAATTTTGATACATTTGGTAGTCTGAATAATATAGTGTTCTTTGTAAATTAAATTCTATCTCATATTATATATTGTGTAGCAATCCTCTGAACGATATCTGATTCAATTCCATGACGAATGTTTGGAGTACCAGCTGTATAGGAAAAAGTGTTTTTGTATATTTCAATGTTCATATAAAAGTTGTTGTTTCAAAGGTATTTTTTTTCTTCCAGATTGTGTCTGGAAGTTACTTTTTTGTATGATCTATACATCTTCGTCGAGAATTTATTTTGAAGTTCATTGCTTTTTTCCTTTCTTCGGAAGATTCCCAATTTTTTTGTGAAAAGATGGAAAAGTAGAAAGCCGAAATCTTCCTTTCCGAAAAATTGAACTCTCCAAAAAAAACACCTTCAAATTTAAATGAAATAGTATTTTGACGTAAACTTTACTGTTTGCCATTCATCACACCTGTGCAAATTATTTATATATTCTTTTACATTGTTTTCAACTTGTGTAGGGTTTAAAAACCAAAAAATAGATTGTGTTTCATTTATGTAAGTAATGTATGACAAAACATATAAAATTAGCCAAAAGTAATATGTTTCAATGTCTATAGTTCGATTCACTGTTCTGAAATTTCACATTCGTATATATATTTAGAATTGATTATCCTTTCAAATGAGGTGACAACTCACCTCTCTTGGATTTTTCCCAACCAATGAAAGCTCCGTTCTTCTTGTTCTCCTCCTCTAACCACGTCTGAATTGGCTTGAAATATTCTAGAAGGCCGCTGGCGTCCATTTTTCTTTGTCCGGTAATAACTTCCATCGCGTCTGGCCATGGCCGAGATGAACCCATAGCAAGCATTTTTCTAAAAAAAATACGTATTTCAATTAAACAGAAAGGCATCCAAATCGATTTTTAGTAGAAAGCAGAGGGAATATTGACAAAGCTGTCAATTAATGAACCCCAAGAAATATAAACTTGTATAACATGGAACTTGGTGACAATAAATAAATTTAATATCAACAGGAAATTAGTCGTTTTCAAATACAAAATATAAAGTACATCTTGCTAGGAAGAAAAAAAGACAGTAAGTAAGTAAGTAAGATAGAAAGTAAGAACGTAATTTTGGGACCCCTTTTGTTTGCTATCTACACATCTCAACTTGCAAAATATTTAAAATTTTGTAATATACATATGTATGCAGACGATACCAAGTTGTATTATAGCTTCCAACCTGAAATGATAGATAATGCGTGTACTGAAATCAATATTGAGTTAAAATTATTTGTGAAAAATGCTTCAGATCACTGCTTAAATATAAATTGTAATAAATCCAATGTTATTGTTTTCGGACCAAAAAGCCTTAGAAATGATATTTGCAAATCTGTGAAAGTAGTAGTAAATGGTCATGTACTTGGGGTTGTCCCAGAAGCCAAAAGCCTGGACATCATTTTAGATAAGGACTTGAAATTCGAAAGCCAGGTTAATCAGTTTATTAGGCGTGCATATTATTCGCTCAAAATTATATATGGACACCGAAATTTCCTACCCATGAAGGTGAAGGCGAATTTGTGCGAATCATTAGTTTTATCTATATTCAATTATGCTGATGTTTTGTATGGTCCATGTTTAACAAACCAATTCAAGAAAAAGATACAAAAAGTTCAGAATTCCTGCCTACGGTTAATTTTTGGTATTAGAAGAAGAGAAAGAATATCACATAAGCTGAAGGATACCGGCTGGTTAAATATGAACGACAGGAGAGTGTTACATGCTGCAACTTTCTTTCACAAAATAATTAATAGTAAGTGCCGTCTTACTTACACCAGAAAATTACTTATAGAACTGATGTGCATAATATAGATGTAGATGTAGAATATAGAATTTGAAAAAATGCTGATGTAAAGTGATCATTCCTATATTTTTCGCTAATTTCGAAATGGAACTATTTTTCTTTCATTTCTTGAAATCGTTTGCAGAGAAGTAAAGTTGCGGTGATTTGTAGGAGAGACTAAAATATAGTGAATGATGTGGTTTGAACAGATGATAAATACTCACTTGAGAACATTTCCAGCTTCAGTGTTTTCATAGATATCACATTCATGAAGAGGTTTTTTGGGGTTGTTTGGATCATATTGACCAGCTTTCTCGCAAAGAGCACGATGGAATTGGAACTGTATCACAAAACTTATGAAATACCTAAGAAAAAAAGAAATAGTATATTACTGTTGATTCTTATTCTGGAAAAAAAACTCAAAATGAATCATACTTTTAAGAAAATGTGATAGTGAACAGCTTTAGATATTCAGTATTTACCTGAGATAGGGAACATCTGAAATAATGTGATATTTAGCAGCAGGATCAAAATCTTCTTCGGACCGGTCTAAAGGCGGTTCAACCCCTTGATACTTCTCCCGCAGTTCCCACCATTTGCAATTATAATTTTCCGGGGTTGTTTTACCCGAAAAGACGTCCCATCGCCATAGATCCATTAAATATCCGAATGGTAAGAATGTTATTTTATCCAGCCCAATCTGAAATAGAAACCATTTATAATTTGAATTTTGTTGTTATGTTCAGTTCACCACCATGGTGTTCCACAAGATAAATTCTTTGAATATTCTCAATAGTCAAAGTGGACACTAATCATTTGCTGATTGCCTTCGCGGCAATGATACTTGCAACCTTAACCAATCATTCAGTAAAACAATTGAAACAGTTAGCTATTGCAGAAAGATAAATCCATCACTCAGGAGTAATGCATTACAATAAGTTATATAAATTTTTGAAATATTATCTATAAAAATTTATGTTTTAGTGTTGAACGTTTTTGTTTGATTATTTACATACAAATTATTTCTTATTCTAGTATTATCCTGATGGATTTGATTATTAAAAATTACAAATTTGTGAAAATATGAAAGTAGAAGGTTATGCAACATTTCGTAAATATAGATTATCGTTAAATATGTAAGCCTACTTTTTGAGTATTTAACATTAAAGATATATGGGTACTCCTGTCACATCTCAAAATAATCATCATGGTGCGATTCTGTAGTTTTTGTAGTGTTCTCATTTTATTCAAACCACCTGTGTATAGAAGAGTGGGACAATATTCGAAGTGTGGTTGTATAATGGTGTAATATGCAGTTATCTGTGATTGCATAGTTAAGTGTTGGGACACTCTTGTGAAAAAATATAATTTCTTCAAAAGTTTTTATACATGCATGCAATAACGATGAATGTACCAGAAATAATGTTTAATCTACTTCTTCAAAAGTTTTTTCTGTTTGTAAGTGTAATGGTTATTCATTGATAGATGCTTGTCCAACTATTTTCATTTCAATCTGATTTAAATCTAATTATCTGTATTTAAATGGTGTAGTAAGTATCATAGCCTTTGTTTTGTTGACATTTAGCTTCAATTCATTAGTTTTCGAATATGTAGCAATATTATTCAATGATACAAAAAAATGGATGAGAGAATCTTCCAAAGAAAGGAAGGACTTTCTTTCAGTTTGAGTCTGAAAGTTACTTCTTTGCATGATCTACACATCCATGTATAGAGTTACTTATTTCCTCTCATCCATTTTTTTTGTATCAGATGGAGTAGTAGAAAGCCAAAAACTTTCCCAAAAATTAATCACTTCTAAAAATATAACCCTTTCAATTCAAATAAGATTCCTCATGGCTGGGATTGAATCAAATAGGTGAATGAATGTCATTACGATGTCATCGATGACATAAGCAGATCAAGCTTATTCCGTGACATTCAAAATCGTAATT